TGAAAGTGGACCTAGTCTGTCATATGTTTTTGGAGAAATAGTAACATTAAAAGGAGAGTTGAACCGTCTTGATCAAAGTATTAGTAGAGACCCCGATGTATCTCAAGAATCCATTAAAGTATTTAAACTTGATAATGAAATTTTGTCGTCAGATAAATTAATGACTTTGACAGAACAAGATCGTGAACACATCATTGTGGAAAAGTTAAAACCAATGATAAAAGTCAACAAAGTGTCAAGACTGTTCATAGAAAATCTCATCAAATCAGTGTCAAGGTATTTTGAAAAGGGAACGTATGATATTAGAAAGGACTCAAATATACTGGTTGCAACCTATTTGAACCCAGCAATAAAGTACCGAATGTTTCAACCGGAAGATAAAATGATAGCCAAAGAGTTCATTACCAAAAAATTCGAAGAAAATATGACAGTAGAAACAACTCAACAACCAACCATTTCTGACACGTCTGAAACTGTTATTGCCTCGCATCCAACTGATCGTTTTAGCCAATATTCAACTTATGTTAATGAATATGAGACTGGACTTGAAGGTCAGTTATCTTCTTACGAAAGAACTGCTCTGACTCATGATTACAAAGAACCCTTTACCAGCTTTTGGATTAATCACAAAAAAGAATGGAGTGATTTGTCTCGTATCGCCATTAAATACTCTACTATTTTGTGTTCGAGTACTCCTTCTAAGAGGTTGTTTTCATTGGCTGGTAATTATCTGCGTAACAGAAGAAACAAAATATCACCCACAACTCTATGTTACATGGCATTTATTCACACTTTTACAAAAGATGAAAATCTTGATTCTTATTTGGAACAAAACATGGAATAAATCAAAATTCTGATTATCTCTGAATTTACCATTTATTATTATTTTTGGTTCAACTCTTTTATGTTATGTTATTGTATTTTTAAAAATTTTAATAAATTAATATTTTACATTTATATTAAACAGAACATGCATTTTTAATTAAGGACTTAAAATATGTTCATTTAAATAATAAATAACCAAACTTTAATTGTCTGAACAACGAAATGTTTAATTAATATAATGACTATTAATTAACAAATGACAATTATATGAATTATTTCATTTGTAATTTAAAATATTTAATATTAATGGAACAGATTATATTTTTTATATGTTTTGAAATTGTTTGTAGTGTTATAATAATAAAATCTTATTTTTAAAAAAAAATATATTTAAATATAGTAAAAGTAAAAATATTGTGAATATTAGTTGTGTTTTTTACAATTGTTTAATATTATTGATGTAATTTTAAATAATTTGAAAATATGGTTTAAATAATAATCCAAAGTTTGTTACATAATTGATAATTCTGTTGACAAAAAATAGTACAAAAACAAATAATACATATTAATGTTAATATATATTTTTATATAAAAAGTTGCATTATCGTTTTTGAATATACAAAAAATGAATGAATTTGTAGAGGTTTTGTTTAATTTTTACTTTTATTTTTTGATTAATTAAAAAAATTCAAAAAATTATTAAAATAAAATGACAATGTTATCATTTGATAAAAGACTTATATTTTCACAAATATTAAACTGGTTTTGGAAAAGCTAATAGAAAAATATATTCAAGAAACCTTTAATAGAATTATTAAGTATTATAAATTATGATGTCAAATCATTCTTTTTATAATTTGAAAAAATAAAATTTATAACTGTATATGTTTGTATTTTGCTTTTTATTATTTATATTATTTAAAATATCAAAAAATAGTAATTCATTATTATATAAAATTCAATCAAACAATTTTAAAAATAGACCATTTTAAACATTGGTTTGTTGTGCATGTCTAAACACCTTTAATGATACATTCTCAAATTTGTATTACGTCTTTTAGCATAACAGTTTATAGTGAATTGTATAAAATATCATCTTATATTAATTTAAACAAACATTCAAATAAATTATATTTTTTAACATTCTGATATCTATATAAAGTAAAACCTCCCAAGAATGGGAAAGTGTGGTATACTTGTTCTCTCAAGAGCAGGCATTTTTAGCCAATCAAACCTTAAAAACCTCTCGATAAAGAACTATATTTTTAGTTTCAATCTTAAAATGCCCTTTCTTGAAAGAACCCACTTATCAAAGGTACCCCTCTTTGGAGGTTTTACTGTATTAAAAATAATATTTAATTAATTATTTTGGTAAAAAAGGTAACATTATAATTAAAATTGTTTAATATTTAAATGGTAGCATTTTAATAAAAACTATGTTATTTTAAACAATAAATGTTGAAACAACTTGGTTACACAATAAAAACAAAGAAGTTTGTTTGCATTTTAAATGTTACAATAATGACATTAAATGTATTATTTTAAATAAGACATAATAAAAAATTTCAAACAATGAATAATTAATAATCAAATTTAATAATTATTTAATAAATCATTATTATTACATTGCTGAAATTAAAATTAATTTAAATAGACATTCATTTTTTAGTTTTAAATTTGATTGTTAATATCAATGAAATGTGAACGTTTTTATTTTGTTAAATTAGTAATTCTGAGTAAATTTCTTTAAACCCATAACAACTATTTTTAATTTGATAAATTTCAATTATTATCAATTATATAACTTCGTGTTAATTTGATTTGTATTATTATTATAAAATAATTTACAGAATCAGTCTGTAACATTTATTGTGTGAACATATTATGTTTTTGATTTCGTGTAAACGACAGACGTTTGTTTAACAAAGAAATTAATCAACTTGTGATTTTAAAGAATTGTTTTTAATATAATCGATATCTTATGTTCCAAAAAATTAGCTCACACTTTAAATTAAAAAAGTGAAAACAACACCCGTTTAAATAAATACATTGTAATAATAATTCAATGGAGGATAACTGCTTAATATCAACAATTTGACAAAAATAAGCTTATACTTGTTTAAAATAAGTTGAAATAATCTTTTTTGTTTGTAAACACAAAACAGTTACTTACGTGTAAGTTAACATGATATTTAAATAAGATATTTATTTGGGATATAATAAGTAATTTAAATATTATTATAAATTAAAATTCATTAATTTGTATTTATTTATAAACATTATTGACTATGTGAAGTCATTGAAATATATTACTTTAAATAATCAATTGACAATCATTTTATATTTGTATTGTTTTAAATGTACAAAATATATAATTTTTTTTCAAATAAAAAAAGTGCATCTTCTACTTTATTGTGAAAAAATTCCAAATATTTATATTTTATTAAAAAATGTTGAGTTAGATTTAAATAACAATATAAATATTTAAATTACATATTATATTTTTGTTTAACCTCTTATATATTGAAAATAATTGTATATAAATAAATGTTCATACTATATTTATTTAATTGTTGGACTTTTACAGTTGAATTTTTTGGCTCTTGATTATATTATTTTAAACTGTTTAAACAACAAAGATGTCAATATACAAACACAATTTTAAACGTATTAATTTAAAAACAGATGTATTACAATAAATATAATTCTCTATTTGTTTTTCTGTTAAATAAAAGAAGTTTATTATAAACAAATTCTTGATCATTGAATATAATTTGTGAAATTTTATAACAATTTGTTTTAATTATAATAATCACAAAACAGACATAATTTAAATGTTTAATTACACCAATATCAACATTGTTATTGAAAACTTTTGTTGATACGGGTTGGATAAAAAACACTTCTGTATTAATACAACTTTATACTGTTCTAATAGTTATTAATATTAAAACAAAGGAAGTTTAATACTTATTACCCCTTCGAACAAAAAAGTATCAAATGGGTATATTCAGCATTCATAGTTAACAGTACAGTACATTTAATTATATTAATATAATTGAAATCAAGAAAATCAAGTCGAAGTAATTGAAAAATGACTATGTTTTTTGTCCATCTGTAAATATATACAAATGATGATTATTTTATGATGATTTTTATCAAGTAAAGTTGGATTTTTAAAGTTATCTACAATAAAAATAAAATAATGTATTTCAACTACATTGAAAATTATTATTAAGAATTGTAAAAAACTTTATTTAAAAAAACTTTTTATAATGGTATTACAGCATTTGATTAAAATGTTACTTTGTAAATTACTAAATTCTCATTAAAATAAACAACAATAATACAACATGTTTTTTTGTAATGTAAATACATGTAATAACACTGATTATAAATTAAATCAAAAAAATAATTATTATTGCAATGAAGTATTTTAACACAGAATTAAAACTTACATACTAATATCCAATATAATATAAAAATTGATTTCTTGTTGAATAGTGATACAAATGGATAAAACACTTACAAAGATATTATTATACAAATCTATCAATTTTAATATTAAAACAAAGTTGTTATTTTTTTAGTTTGCTTATTAATAAATTTTTAATATAATACTGGTGATTCCGGAATCGGTTCGGGAACCGTCGTGTTCTGGAATCAAAAGTTTGGGAATATTTTTTTTATGAAGTTCGGGAACTTGTGTGTTCGGGAACTTATTGGTTCGGGAACACACCAATTTTAAGTTTGGGAATCAGGATGTTCCCGAACCGAGGTTAAAAATATTCCCGAATATTTTTTGATTCCGGAATCGGTTCGGGAATTTGATAAAAAAATAAAATTCCCCAAATAATTTCCTGGAATATTCGGGGAGTGTTTCGACAACACTAGTTTGTTGGTGTGTTTTAATAAAGATCATAATTAAATTATTTTATATTAACAATCATTATTATAATTATTGATTATATTTATAAAATGTTAAAGAATATTATATAGAAGTACTATAAAAACAAGTCAGTGGAAAAAAATCTGGCTTGTTTTAAATTATAATAAAAAATAATATTAATTGTTATATGTTATAAACTATTAAAAAAAATCAAAAACAAAATGAAAAATGAAAATAATTATAAAACTATTATTTCAAATTATTACAATTCACCTCGATAAAATTAATGTTTTTAATACGAAAACTGAGTTTTGTAGTAACAGAAAAGTTCTTGAAATGACTTGCAAAAGCAGAGATTCGAGACGGTGAATTCTTCTCAACGACATACAGTTGGTAAGATGTTACATATGTGGGGTTTGTTGAGCCACAGCGTGATTCCGTTGGTGTTGTTTTGTGTTTGTATTACTACCACACACAAATGACACAAACAACTGAATTAATTAAAGTAAAAAAAGTCAAACAACTAATTAGAAATTTGGTGAATTTCTTGTTGTATCGAGACTAGAAGTATATTATAAAGCCAGACTATTCGATATGGAAGGAAAACATCGACGCGTGTACTTCCTTAAGTGTCCCACTGCAGTACTATGGATTCACACAAATTCAAGGCCACCACAGATTGTTGGCGGCTGCTATGGAAGAGAAATATTACAAAGATACTAAAAGGGCTGAATTACAGAGAAAGAGACACAGGACCTATCAACTTCATTTGAGAAATTGTTCTAGAATGAAGAGAAAGGATACTTCGTCCAAGCCATTTGACAGGACAACAAAAAGTGATCGTCGACACGTTGATTGCAACTGTGGCGTTCAGTGACATTGTTACCGATCAAATAAAGATTAATAACACTTTGATAACATCAGAAAGTTCAACACCAAACTTGAATACGGTTTTGCTAAACATCCACAATACTCATACTTTTATTTCTTAAAGTTGAATAATGAAGGAAAAGAAGCTGGTGAAGCAAGCCTACTATGGGGAGAAGCTGTAGACTAAATCACCGGCGACCCGATTATGCTGTCAATGCCTGATGTATACGAACACGCAGGTGTGCAGTCATGACAGCGCTTCAGAATCAACAACTCTTCCCACTCTTTAATTATAAGAAGTGGTAATTTGGTAGTTTCGTAATTATTGTTATACTATAACACGTGTGATATAGAATAACATAATAATAGTATTAGTAAAGTAAATTAAATAATATAAAATGGGAGGAGTCGACTGATACTTAATGATGATCATTGGAAAATACTTTGCAAGTGTCAAAGATTTCAAAGTTGTTATGATGGTCATTCGAAAATTCAAATTGTTGAGTAAAATGTACCACTTTGATCTGATACCTTTGACATCACAAAAGTAAAACAAGTTGTTCCCAAACATCAAGACTTACCATCTCTGTTCAAAGAGTGATTTTGACAATTAATTCCAAAAAGGTCATTTATTATTTAATGACCCACGAAGACACATTGGTCTTCCACAAAATATTGAGTGCACAAAAATTATGTTTATTCAAGAAGATGTCAAACTTTTTGGTCGTGAATTACCAACAAAAGAGTGTGAAGTCGTTGTCATCATCATGTTTCAAATCATCAATTGAACAACTACAGTTTGTCTTTAAACGTTATATGGTACATTTTGGACCATAAAAATTGGAATATTTCGGGAAGCTGTGCCAAAAAAATATCCCAATTGTTTCGGTTTTTTTTCACGTTTTACCTAATGCCTGTTGTTTAGACAAAATTAAAGCTATTTTTGTCCACAAAATAACTTTTGAAACTAGATAACTTTTAAAGACTGACACTTTAAACATTAAAATATTATATTATTAAATTTTTAAAAATAAAAATATTATTTTTAATAGTAGTAATTATATTATTTTTTATAGTAAGTTGATGTAATAAATTAACATATTATTGTTATAGTTTATTTTGTTAAAACCCAACTGTTAAAACATTGGAACTTTTCAATTTAAAATTTTAATGATTAAGCCCAAATGTTTGTTCTATAATCTATTATCGTAACATTTCGATGTATTTTCTAATTCCATTGCTATCATTGTTGTAATTACTATTGTTAATAGACCAATTGGTGGTTATCATTGTATATTTATTTGATATTTATCTTGATACAAACACTATGTTATTTACTGTATTACATATTCATCAGATCAAATAAGTTATAATTAACAATTAGATTAATACTTGTCACTCTAATGATTCATGAACATCTTATACAGTCCCTAAATCATTTGCTTTGTCTTTGACTATTGCATTGTCTATTTGATAATATTTATTGTCTTTAAGTTGCTTGTCCTGTTTTGAGTATTATCTAGTGTCTTTGATATTTTCATTACTTCTTTGAATGTGTTGTCATGTTTTTGGACATTGTCTTATGTCTTTGAGCACTACACTCTTTGATTACATTGTATTATCATTATGAATTGATCAAGTTAAAAGTTATGTCTATTGTATTGTATTGTAATAATAATTGTGTTGTAATTAATTATGGTTATTGTTACTAGTTTAGTTAATGATATATTAATAATAAAATAAGTTATTAGTTGAACTATAAGTTTATATTTAAGTTTTTTTTAAATATAAATCATGTACTAAACAAGTCAATTAATTATTAATACATTATTTCATTTTGTATAGTTTAAAATAATAGTATTGATATTATTTGTTAATTAGTATTTTTCATAATTAACAAATAATTTTAATTTTTTTGAAATTAATTATTATTATTTAATATAGTTTTAAAATATAAATAATCGGTTAATAACGTTAAATATAAATATGAAAATAATACCCTTTTTCAATTGTATTTAGTTTTTTGGAGTAGTTTTAATTCTTCCGGTACCATAAATTTCCAAAAAATGTAAACTTATTTTTATCTTATTCATTTTAAGTGTATATTAGTAAGAAATAATGCAAAAACGCTTTAAACTTTTTACAACCCATGGGGAATACCCAGGAAAC